TTTTTTGATTTGCCAGACACAATGTTCGTAAAAACAGTTCGATGGTCATATGAAAGACCGCCACTTAAATTGTAACAACATCTAATAGTACGCTTCATGCTACTAACAATCAGGAACTTCTACCATTGTGTTACAGAAATCGTTATTTCTTTATTATTTGAACTTGAAATGTCGTGTAAATTTTTTTCTGTAAGCTTATATTTGAGCCTGTAATTTTTATTAAATGAAACTATCTTTTCGGATTATTTCGCGGATTTATTTTGATTTTTGGTTCCCGACGTTTCGAATGCTTTACAGCATCCATGGTCACGGGAGAAACTCTCGAATGCTTTACAGCAGCGTCGGGAACCAAAAATCAAAATAAATCCGCGAAATAATCCGAAAAGATAGTTTTATTTAATAATGTTAAACATTCGCGTAAATCTAAGAAAGTATCCTGTAATTTTTTTAAATGTGTCCAAATTTTGAACTGATCTTTCCTTATTCCTCGTTGCCAAATATAGTGTTTATTATTAATTTTATATTGAATATAATTAATTAGCCCTTTATCTGGTTTAATACGTGACGCTATTTCGTCATTTCCCATAAACAAATATATAATAAAACAAATTGCTTAACAAATATTTTAAAATATAAAAATATAATGAAATAAAATTAATAACAAAGTTGCAACCACAATTTCCAAATAAAAACCAATAATATATGAAGATACTAAATGATATCACTATGATTTCTCTATTTCATCTAGAAAATGGCCTGAAAAAAAAACTTTACAAGTTATAATTGTCACAGTTCAATGACCAATAAATACAGAAGCACTCGACTATTTGGTCGTAAACTTATTTTCTTCTAATAAACCATTTAACTAAGGATTTGCCACGTGCCTGAAAGTGAATATTAATATACGATTTGAAATTAATGCAAGAGCACCGTAATAAACGGGTAATTAGGAGTTTTAACTAAGTGAAAACTTGGCGCAACAAATCAGTCCTGTTAAGTTTCAGTCCTGTTCAGTTTTGCAACTGTACCATAAATATAATCCGTAAATAGTATCCGCACCATAGAGTCTACCATTTTTTATGTGTGCAGCGAAATAATAATGGTCTTTGTAAACTGTCCCTATAAAATACGATTAAGGTAAAGACCGAGTGAGGAATAAGATATTCCAAGCAATATTTGCTCTGGTCGTCAAAGAGCAAAATTTTTCCACGTGTTTTCTTAAAGATCCAAAAAGAGAATAAAAAAGTTAAAATATTTTGCATTCTATACATATTTTAGTGTCAAATATAAACAGCCAAACAGCCACATAAAAAATTATGGCAAATAACACCAACTAATTGGTCAGCTACTAAATAAGAAGCAATCAAATATTTTTTCTAACTCCATTGTACGCATAACAGCTGCTCCCTTGCCATTATTTGATGGAAAAAAAACACATAATTTACTCGCCAAATGGTGGGGTTCTAATTCTAAACTCGACCTCGGCCAATCGCGAGCGAGGATCCACAAACATGGCGTCGTGGGAACCTGTTAATGGGCTGTTTGAATTTAGAATAGTATTTTTTATTAACGCGTTCGTTAGAGAACAATGGTTTTTATGTACTACATAGATGGATTAGACGGGTACTTTCATGGGTTATATTTTTGATGGTGTGGATGACAAAAGAGCTTGGTTGAAAAGACTTTCAAAAGAATATTAAAACAACTTCTATCCGTGGCTTTGTCCGGATTGCGTAAATGAAAAAACTAAGGTCTGTGGGGAGATGGAAATAGAATACTTACAGATTGTACTTTTATGTAGGCATCGAGTACGCCTAATGGAAAATTTTAACTAACCCTCAGATCTGTGTAGTGTAATATATCCAGCAGTCAAGTTAGGTTTGTTTAGGAATTACGCATATATTAAATATGGTAATAAAACCTTTTATTTAACTATACAATCTTCATGATTAATCTGTGTGATGAGATTATTTTTATACTAGCTTCATCACTTTTTAGGTCCCTAAATATATTTCTAAAGTTTCCGCTAATTATAAAAAAAAAAACATTTTTATTATTATTTCTATTTCATTTTATGACTAATATGAAGTGTGATATGCGATTAAATTATTTGCTTGGAAAAAAATCAAATTAATAAATGACGTAAAACTGGACCGAGTAACTAAAATTATGACGTTCGCGTGTTAAATACGCATTTTTCTAGTCAAATTTATTCCTATATAGGTAAGGAATGTTACTTTTCCATTTACATACACTTCTGTTAGTTGTTTACACGATGAATAATATCGCCATTATTTACATTTTTAAAGTACCAATAAAATTAATTTTGCCTTATATTAACTGCCAGTACCTATGTATAGAGCTCATATAGATTTTTTTCTAAGAAACATTCATAGTTTTTTTAATGATTATGCCCATATCTTACATCGATCTAATTACGTATGTAAATTGCAAAAAATCAATCTTAGGAAATTCAATTTAATGTTCAATTTATGAATTGATTGAAAAAAAAAACAAATACTAAACGTTAAGTGAAGTTTACCACATTACATTAGTGAAAACCGCACCTAAATCGGTTAAGCCGTTTCTGAGATTAGCGCTCACGATCACAAACAGACAAAAATTCTAAAAATCATTGTTTTGGGTTCCATTACGTTAATAAAACCCCCCAAATCCCAATAATAGCTTTTTTCAAATATCTTCCATACACAGAGAGAGATTATTATTTAAAATTGTATTATATGTAGGTACCTATAGATATCTAGGTACAAAAAAAGCCTTAAACAAATATTTAAGAAGACAAAGTCAAAAGCAGAACTAGTTTCTATATAAAAATGCACACCATGTTGCTGTAAAAGGAAATATATATATATATATATGTGTACTTATAAATAAATAGCTTACAAAATACATTGTGTATTATCCTTGTTGTTGATTAACTAAAATGGCGGAAAGTTGACACCTCAATAGCTAAGGAAAATCGTATTAAATTAAAATGTGTTTGGACAGCCAATAAAATTACTTGTAACAAAGTAGTTAGGAGTAGTAGGTTTTATTTTTTAAATTATGGCACATATCTACTGCAAAAAAGAGAGAAAAAACCGTACCTTTTTCTTTGCATTTTAATCGGCTTAGTATACTATAGTTAATTCTACGTATTAGAAAGTGATTTTTAAATAATATGTGACTTTTATCGAGACTGACTGTCTCTAACAACACATCACTATCCCATAAATATTATAAATGCGAAAGTTTGGATAGAGGGATGTTTGTTACTCAATCACGCCAGAACGGCTGAACGGACCTGGATGAAATTCGGCAAAGATATAGTTATTTATAAACAAAACCACTGCGACATAAGTGTTCATATTAATTTTAATATTACACTGCTTTTAATCTCTATTAAAGCTTTGAATTATTATCTTAAGCTCTATATTTACAAGGTAAATCTAATTTAAATAACCTTCGATCTGTCTCTTACTGATTGCTCGCAGAATTCTTTACGTTGATAGAGAAACAATATGAATTATTCGTACTAATATTATAATTATAAGGTTAACGGTTAGTATAGAGTAGACTATATACATAATAGGTATAGAAAAGTAAATACTTTAAAAAATATAAAAAAAGTCCTTTACTAGAAGAAATTATTGATTCCCCATACAAACTTCCACCCCCCTTTTCAGCCCTTAAGGGATTATTTCCGGGATAAAAACTATCCTATGTCCTTCCCAGGGTATCAAACTATCTCCATGCCAAGTTTCATGTAAATCAATTCAGCGGATTAGGCATGAAATGGTAACAGACATACAAACAGACAGACAGAGTTACTTTCGCATTTATAACATTACACCACATACAAATTACAACGAATAAGCATGAATTATGCATACATATAATAGTTTATAAAAAATGCTAAAAATGACTCTTAGTCCTGTGTTTATTTACTTTCGCCAAGTCGTCTCAAGGCTGAAGTATTTTCGTTTTGAAACAATGATAGTGTTATTGTGAAGTTCAAAATTATTAACTAATTTTTACGATATTGTATTTTTAATTATTGTTACTGAATTTATAGGCTACAAAATTCTATATATTATCTATAGTAGATGCCTATTTCCTATCATTTTTAAAAGACCTTTTTTAATCTAGAATATATTGCACTATAGTTCCAAATTTAATTTGAACGGCATAAATAAACATTGAATTAAAATAAACTATGCGTATTTTATGTAGTATCTTTAATATATAATTAATATTGATATTTTTTTAAAACTATAGGCAACTCTACCTGACTTATTATATATAATGTAAGTAGGTACCTATTCTACAAAATAACGGAAGCTCTCAAAAAAAACGATTTTTACGTGTTAATTCTAAAATTTATTTTAACGATAACTTAGTTTGGCAATATGTTTATAAATGAATTATGTAAATATTAATATAGCCTAAAACCTTCCTTGATATTCCCTCTTTCTATTAAAGAAAAACCTATGAAAATTCATACAGTAGTTTCTGAGATCAGCTTAAATAAACAATAATTTAGCGCGGCGCGGAGGCTTTCATCTGATACTATTATAAATGCGAAAGTAATATAGATACTAAGCAAGTAGAAATGTATGTATGTTTGTGTCCCATCACGGTGAAACGGATGGGCGGATTTTGATGAAGTTCAGTATATAACACAGATATTGACATGGAGTGCCACATGACTACTTGTGCTGTTTAGTACCAAGGGAAACACCCAAGCAGTAAGGTTAAGTCGTTAGTTATCTATTCTAAAAAAGATTTTTTTTGTTTGTTTGTATCGAATAGGCTCCGAAACTACTGAACCGATTTAGATTAAATTTGGTAAGAAGATAGTTTCAGACCCTGGGGAGGACATAGGATAGTTTTATCCCGGAAATCATTCCTTAAGGGGGTGAAAATGGGGTTGAAAGTTTTTATCGGGAAGCAACCATATTATAAAGTAATCATTAAAGCATTTCTACTATTTGTTACAGAGTCCGGCATCGGAATCAGACAGCAGTTCCGTGTCGGGGGCGAAGAGTCCGGCGGGCCCGCCGCTACTGCAACACCTCCTGCAGTTACAGCTGCAAGGACAGAACCCACAGGCGATCGCACAGGTAGCCTCATAGTGTTATTTATATGAGAGAAATTTGTCAAACAACTCATTCTATAGCAGAATCAGTTATTTGGTTATAATTTGCTTTTTTTCGTTTACGAAAATAAAGAAATGTTGAGTAAAATAAAACGAAAATGTACTATTGGAGTGTGATATTTTGTTTTCTTTGGTCATCATTAAGCTAAATTTGAAATATTTTTTGTTTGTAAAACAAAATATGGCGTTAATTTTTAAGTTTTTTTATAAATAAAGTTTTATGAAATAATTGTAAGTTTTATAAGTTTTATCATGAAACATTGAATGTTAGAAAACCTAAACATTACTAGATTCAACAGAACAATTCTATATTTGAGACTCAAGAAGAACCTACCTGAACCAAATTTAATGCTATTTCAATTTTTGTTGTTTCATATAATATTAGATTATAATATGTTATTGCAGAAGATAGAGCTACGGCAAAGATTCAGATTTTTATTTATTTACGTTTAAGTTTTAAGGTTTAGTATAGATTTCTCAAAGATGAGATATCCAGATATCATCATATCAAATTTCATCAAAATTTTTCCAGTGGTTTTCTCGCGATGCAGTCCCAGACAGACAAACAAAAATTCTAAAAACTATGGATTCGACCTCTGTATCGATAATAATGACTGTTTCAATAAGATTTTCCCAAAAAAATTAATGTACAGATTCAACTCAATTAGAATTTTATTTTATGTATAGATATCCTATTTTAGGGCAAGTCCTAACATTTACCAAACCTTAAAGGTAGAAGTCTAAATTGTTTTAAGAGAGTTTAGTATGCCCTTGTACATTTTTTTCTTACTTTGGATTTCTACTAACATTTGTTCCGTTCCACTTAGAACTTTTAACACTAGGCCTTCTTCTCAATCTATCACGTTGGTTAAATGCAGATTCGCAGATTTCAAAGACCAAAAAAATTAGTAAAGTTGTCGTTTCAAGCATGCAAATTTTCCCCATGAAGTTTTCCTTCACCGTAGTACCGTAGCAAATAATAATCACGTTGGAAATGAGACTTCCACGTTAAAATCTCAGACATGCGACACTCGGAGCCAATTCTCTTTGCCACAAAGCGAGTGTTCGTATCCATGAGTTATTAGTGCTTTTACGTACATATAAGTATATACGCACTTAGAATATCTTAGGTTTTAAATCAAAGATATCCGTCATATTTATTTTCTTGATAGAATAGTGCATTCTATTGATATTCATAGAGATTTCAGTCAAATAAATTTCCATTCCTAAGGGCAGAAAAGTTTTTAAATAATTTTTAAGTTGTACCTTTAATTAAAAAGTAATTATAATAAAAAAATGGCTAACAGAATTAAATATTGACACTCGACAATATTAAAATTTGCCGTAGTTCAAGCTTATGCAGTAACATATACTGCGTATATGTCTAGTACCTTCTTAGATTTATGCAAATTTTTGACATTTTAAATAAAACTATTTTTTCGTATATTTCGCATCTTTATTTTGATTACCGAAGTTTCGAATGCTTAACAGCAACCATGATCTCGTAATCTAAACTTTTTCACGTCTCAAAAGTTAATGTTTTGCTGTAAAGTATCAAAGAAAAAATAGTTTTATTAAAATACACCAGTACCGATCATGTTGATTGGTACAGGCGTACACGATGTGTGTGCAGTTCCAGCAGATGATCGCGGCGTTGGCGGCTCTCGGCACGGGCTTGCTCCCGCCCGCGTGGATGATGCGCCCGAGACAGGTTGATAGGTGAGTGATAACTTATTCATTTGAAATATAGTGTATATGTGTATTCAGCCCTTTTTAACGTCCCACTGCTGGGCACGGGCCTCCCTTCAATACGAGAGGGATCAGGCCATAGTCCACCACGCTGGCCAAGTGCGGGTTGGCGGTCTTCACATGTCTTTTGAAAACTTTCTAGATTCTCTCAGACATGCAGGTTTCCTCACGATGTTTTCCTTCACCATTAAGACAAGTGGTAATCATGTTGAAAATGATTCGCACATGAAAATATCGGAAGTGCGAGACCCGGGATTTGAACTCGCTTCACTCGGTTTCCCAAGCGAACGCGTTACCACGGGGCTACCACTGCCTAAAAATACCGTATAAACTAATAATTTAAAAATTGTAATAGGTAACTAATCTAAAATATCAACAAAAACTCATATAAACAATACAATGTGGGCAAAGCAAGCAAGTCTTCCAGCCAACCTACAAATGTGAGAAATATTTACAAATAGCTAAAGTCATAGGTTTAAAAAATATTCTACTTAATAAATCTTTTGTATTTTTAAGGATTTTGATGAAATTTGCAATAAAGAGATTTCGAGATCGATATAGCTGTCTGGGAAAATTCGTTTTCCATATTTTCATTATTTACGTTATTTTTGAATTAGGCAAAAATGATCAATATTCCAAAATAGTATTTATAAAAAATTTATTAATAAAACATTTATTATTTTTTCTACATTTATTATTGAAAGCTATGTAATAATTAATATTTATTACTTTTAGACTATAATATAACACTCGAGTATAATAAATGAAAAGGCTAAACAAATTTATACGAGCAATAAATTGGTTTTTGTGACTCATTAGAAAATACTTCTAGATAGCCGTATCCTGGGACGCGGAAATTAATAATGTAAAATATACGCAAAACAAAATAAAAGATATTAATATATAAAGTCGAGTGAAAAATCTAAAGAAAGAGTTTAGAAATACTATAACTTTTTATATGAACTAGTCTACTCAAGCGCTGGATTATCAAAAAAGAAGTAGGAACATATTGCTAATTAAATTTTAAAATATATCTACATAATTATCTCTCTACATAATTTTCAAAAAAACATTCAATGTCCCACAACATCTGTTTCTATTCTATTACATCACTTCATTTTTTTTTTGATATAACGCCATCTTTGCAATAATCGTATGAATTTATATCAATACACAATCATTTATATATACATTCAAAACGAACAGGAGAAATAAAATAAGAAATATTCTAATATTACATAAGTAACATTCATAAACAAAACCTAAAACAATTTATTTCGAAATACACTTCGTAATTGCGCAAAAATATTTACAGATAATATCAAAATCAATAAATTAAACCACATCTTTATGTATTTACATTTTACAAGGTTCCAACGTAATTTATAATAACAAAACAGTGCAAAATAGTTCGGACTCGAAACACCATTCTAATGACATTGGCTCAAATATCATGAGGATACAATCAGATCGATTAAATTATATAGACGACATTTTAAAAGGTATACATCATTTATAAAGTTTGTTTAGTATCTAGAAGTTTCTTTGTAATAATATTTCCAATTAATTAATTCACATTTTATATACAACTGGATAGAAAAAAGAACTTAAAACTTAGTTAATAGTTTACCTACTATATAAGGGCTAAATATAAAAATGTACGTAAGTAGATATCTTTTATGGGCTCTATATTACTGATTGAAATATTTACTGGCAGAATGCAACCTTCTCCTTTGTCTTATTCCATTGTGGAGTTTTAAAAAAGTTGTAATGTAAAATTACTAGAGAATATATGAATATGATGCTAGTACTAGCGACTCACCCTCGCTTCGCTCGCGTTCGTCCCCAGCTTGTTTCCCAATACAAATTTTCATCCCCATTTTCACCCCCTTATGGGGTGATTTCCGGGATAAAAAGTATCTTATGTCCTTCCCAGAGTCTCAAACTATCTTATTACCAAATTTCGTTTAAATTGGTTTAGTAGATCCAGAAATTACCCCCTACAACGTCACAAACTCACAAACTTTACCTCTTTATAATATTAGTATCGATAAGCAAGCATGTTAGATCAATCAACATCCAGAACAAGTGGAAAAGCCAAGTAAAACTAGAGTAGCTATGTTTATTGGACTTGTTTTAATTATAATGAAATTAAAACAGTTAAAAGTAAGGCTAATATATATGCTATAGTTTTACAAACTGAAAAATCTTTTTTTTTGTTTAATATTATATTGAAACTTGGTTAAGCCAACAACGTCTATCCGTTCGTTTGTTAAATTTAAAGGGTAAACTAGCGTAAAAGCTTATAACCTATATTCTATACAATGTTTTTTTTTTATTTAGCACAATATCCCTCTTTACTTATCGTTTGTTTAAACACTACCATATATAACTCCTTGATAGATTACTCATAGCTACAAACCTGCCGCCATGGAATTACTAAATCATATGAAAATCGTCACAGTAATTTAATGCCTTATATCAGTGTCATTACGATTAATGTACTTATATAATATATCAAAAAAAGCCGTATTACAAAGGGATAAGGTCGAAATTTCGTTAGTAATGTATGTAGGCAAGCGTGTGTCCCTATAAATAAAGATGAATCCTTGAAACGCGCAATGAATTGTTACTCAATACGGAACTAGTTTGTACCGCGGTTTTACTTTGAAACCGGTTTGGACTTTCAGATCAAATGACTCGAATGCGTAATTGTTCATCGAAGGGTTTTGTTAAAGCATGTCCTCCTAAAGTGTTGTATTTTATCATATACAATTTTAGTTCTAGAGTTAATTTTTAATTTTCCAACTAATAATAATGATTTAGTTTTGCTAAGTAACTTGGTTTTGTTTATCTATACTAATATTATAAAGAGGCAGAGTTTGTTTGTTTATTTGTTTGAACGTGCTAATCTTAGGAACTACTAATTCGATTTGAAAAATTCTTTTTGTATTAGATATCCCGTTTATTGAGCAAGGCTATAGGCTATATACCATATAATATATAGTCTATCTATTCCATACTAACCATTAAAACGTATCTAGGGTCAAACCCGAGCGAAGAGAGGCTGCTCGCTAGTAGGTACCTAATAAAATATTAAGTAATATCTTGACTATCGAAAATATTAGTAAACATAAAAATGTTAAAAATTTTCAAGAGATAGGTATTTCTAAAAGACGTACATATAACATACCAAATTTCATCGGCGTTAAAATGCTTAGTGGGAAAATATACTAACATAGTTTTTAAAATAATTACGGATTTGCCTTCATTTATCTATCCATAATGTATATTTTCTCATAACTTATCTAACTTATTTCACTAAAATGTGTTTCTTAAGCCTAAAATATGAAATACAGATAACTTTTCCTTTGAAATTCATAAAAATATTCCAAGTTTCATCAAAAAATGTTTAGTAAAAATATCGTACTTATAGCAAAACAAACATACTGTACATCTCAATTTTCAAGTCAACCTTCGAACAGCGAGATGCACCTCGTTAGCATTTTATGTAACACGCGTACTCACCGCGATCGGACTGAATAAATCTGAAACATTATGAATTACATTTAGGATGCATTACGACTTTAAATAAATCTGACTTAACTATAGAGGGTTAGGTCAAGATTCGATATAAGATAATGCTAAAAATTCAATGTATAACAAAAATGAAATGATTTCGTTCGATTTGTTTTTTTTTAAATGTTCTTAATAATTTAGTTAGATCTAAAGAGAAAAACAACTGGAAAAGTTTCCCAGGAAAACTAACAAATTCGGGAAAAGTAAAAGCACATTTTTCTATAGGATTTGTGTGTAAAAAAAAGCTTTGAGACGAAAGTTATAAAATATGGGCTTTCACTTGAAGGAATCGAACTGGAAACAATCGCCATAATAATCACCACTAAAAATAACAAGAAAATTCAAGAGGTTCATTAATATGTACGACACATACAAACAAACAATACTGCTCCTCAATTTCCATAGTTTATCAATAGCCTTTGATTTATACCAGCCTTGGAGTTTCTGTTCCAATACGTTATGTAACTTGCGTTCTAATATAAGCATGGCTATTTTAAAGTAAATGTTTTATATATTTTTTCAATAATTACTTATCTTTTATTATAAGGTGGTAAAATTTATTTATTTATATACCTATACGTATTTTTTTTTATTAAAAAAAATAGAGTCATGCTATTCCTGAGTAATATACGGTATTTTTATTATCATATAATGTGTTACGTTATTATATGTACGCGAACATTTAGCGTCTATATTTATACATATAATAAAATTTTAACTGAGTCGAATCTATACGTTAAATATTTTTTGGAAAATCTTATTAAATTGTTAATTATTATCAACACAGGCAGAATCTATAGTTTTTAGAATTTATGTCTGTCTGTCTGTCCGCCTGCCTGTCTGTGACCGCATCACGAGAAAACCACTGGATAGATTTTGATGGAATTTGGTATAATTCTTACAGCTATCGCATATACTGTAACGGACGAACCCGAGCGAGGCGAGGGCGAGCCTTTAGTTATAAATATTTTGCATATTTGAAAACAAATTAGTAAAAATTGTAATCTTTGAAGATAGCAACGAAAAAAAATCATATAAGTACCTATCATTTTTCAGACAATAACAACGGTTACTATTTTTCGTCGGAATTTTCGTGGCGATTTCTCGTGACCTGTGAAATTTTACTCTCATGAGCGCAAAGAAGTTTCACTTCAAAAAATTATAATTTTACTAGCACTGCCCGCGGCTCCGCCCGCGTTCAGATGACTAAACCAAATTCTTAGGTTTTACATATAAATATACCCTTACATTGCAGTTTTTGTATTCTTTCTCAGAAATGAGACATTTTCCCGCGGTAAATATTTATCCTATATGTTGATCGGGATAACCAGCTATCACCATACTAAATTTCATCAAAATCCCTCCAGTGGTTTTTCTGTGATGCGGTAACA